ATACAAACAATCGAAGATATTCTGAGAGCATGTTCCCTAGAATTCCAAGGTAACTGGGATGAACATTTACCTTTGGTATAACTTTCCTACAGTAATAGTTTCCACTCGAGCATAAAGATGGCACCTTATCAAGCTTTGTACGGATAGAAGTGTCGTACGTCGTCTTGTTGGCTTGATGCTGTAGAAAAGCAGTTTATCAGACCTGAAATAGTCCATCAGACTGCTGATAAGTTGAAAGTGATTAGGGAAAGGATGTTAGCAGCTCAAGATCGTCAAAAGAGCTATGCTAACAAGAAAGAAAACCGATAACATTCGAAATTGGTGATTCAGTTTTACTTAAAGTCTCGCTGTGGAAGGGACTTAAAGATTTGGTAAAAGAGGAAAGTTGAGTCCAAGATTTATTGGACCGTTAAAAGTTTTTCAGAGGATTGGGAATCAAGCTTACAAGCAAGAACTACCACAAGAACTATACGGTATTCATAACACCTTCCATGTGTGTTATTTAAGAAAGTTCACGGGAGATGTTCCCGACATAATTCTAATTTCTGAATTAAGGGTGGATGAAAGTAAGAGGTTAATCATAGAACCGGAGGCAATCGTTGATCGCAAGACTAAGAAATTAAGACGCAATATGGTCAAATTAGTGCTTGTACGATGGAAACATGCGAATGGGCCAAATCTCACCTGGGAAACGGAGAGTGACATGATGAGTCGCTATCCACATTTGTTTGTTGATGTGTGATTCCAAGGACAGAATCATCCTAAGGAGGAGATAATTGTAATGCCCGTGTTTCTGGGCTAACTACTAAAGATGATGTAATAGTCTAGGTTAACCTTTGTAACTCTTTTTGAAGTAATACAAAGGAATTATGTGAATTTTGTGCTTGTTTACTTAACTATTATGATTTAATAAATTAAGAATAAAAATAAGTGTCAAAATAAAGTTTCAGATAAACCCAATATCTATGTAAAAAGTTGTAGCGGTTGAAATACGGATTCCGGAGATATAAAGAATACCAAAATCCAAGTTATAATGAATGAGTTCTGACCTGTCGAAGTTTCGCGACAGAACCGACACAACGCTATGTGACGTAAAAAGTGAATTTCCGTTAAAGTGCTTTTTAGCCATAGTTATCTAAATGAAAATAGTAGAATACGTTAAGCCGAGAGCGTCCATAAAAAGAATGTCCAACTCTGACTTTGTATGAGTAAGTTATAATTTTTTGAAGATTTTACTTAGCAGTATGTAGCCCAAAACTCGAAATTTAGATCGGCTGAAAAGATCTAAACAAGAATCTAAGATCTTGTTAATTGTAGTTTAATGGTAAAATGAACGACAAAAACAGACGTTGGATGAAGAAGTTACGATTTTTTGACGGATTTTTTCCTGTCACGGGCTGTTAAAAATATAACTATAAAAATAAAGCCAAATTAGCCAAGGGAGTCTAAACGAAAGTTGTAGAGCATAGTATCATTTACACATGGATATAAAGAACTTCAAAAACAGAGCTCGTATGCGGAAGTTACGAATTTTTAAATTTTGATAAATGGGAGTACGCCAAGCATAAATGAGTACGTCCAGCGTACTCGTGTTCGGGGTTTAAAATTGGCCACGTAGCCTACTCCATCGAATGGTCAACGCGTGATCGTAGCCTTGATGCATCCGATACAATCCCTTAGTACGCCCAATGTATTCGGTGTACGCCCAGCATACTGGACCACCTCACAGTACGCCTAGCGTACATGGATATTACGCCCAACGTAATTCGAGGTTCCTGCACCTATAAATAGGACTCGAGGGCAGACGGGTTTTTGTTTATTTCTTTAACATCTTTCACCCCTAAATTCTCTCCTAAATTGCAAGAAATACCCCCAAAGCCTAGTATATCGTCTTAGCACCCGAAGCAAGTCCCAACGCTCCGAAGTTACCAAGAAAATTATATTTTCAGCCGAAACTCTACCCACGTGAAGCCCGTTTTTTGAGAAAATATCCCGGTTTCATCGAAGAATATTGTTTTAAGTAACGAAGTGCTGCCTGATTTTCATTAAAACAAGTAGGTGTATAGTTAATTTCATCTTACACATAGATATGAAGTATTTTCTATAAAATATGTGCTATGTGTAATTATATTGTTTGTTTATTTTAGACGAATGTTGAATGAATGTTTTACATAGGTTTTAAACTGTATATGTATTTTTATCTACAAAAATGCTGGGTAAAACATGGGTAGATAGTTGATGTGTGATGAAATAAAATGATGAAAGGCCTCGATGTTATTGTGATTCAGTCATCTAGCGGAGTATGGATGACAACCACAAACTTTTCTAGATAGTCCTGTGGAACGCTGGTAGGCTCGCAACCTATAGGTGTTAATGAGCTTGGGTGTTCATTTGTTGTACTCAATCCCCCACATGGTTGCCTTATTTGACATAAATTACTGGGAAACTCCCAAAGCAGTGTTGTCACCCGATGAGAATCCTTAGGCTAGGTCCCTTGTGATAGTTGTTTTAGGGACGTAAAGTGAGGATAACGGGAATGGGTAATCGGGTTATTGTTGTTTGATCAAACTAATTAATCCCAAGCCTGGCCCACTCAGTTTTCTGTATTACAGGTAGTGGACCCCGAGCGTAGTTTAGAGGTTGAATAGGGATTTTGAATTATAAGTCAGTAGTTCTAAATATCTGTTGGAAGGCTTATAATTTACTGTTTATGCTTTTGGTCTATCTTAGAACATGAAATCCCGAGGTTTTTGATACATAATGAAAATATTTATTTCTTTAAGAAATGTTTGGTTAAATTTTTATTATATTCTTTTGGGAACAAATTCCGCAACATCTTTTGGAAAATTACTCTGATTTTATTTTAATATGATAAACTAAATCGGTCTTTTCTGGCCAAGAAAATTGGGGATGTCACATTCTAGCTTCTCTTCTGGACTTAAGAGAGTGCTGAAGACCCAATCTTTTCTTTGCTAGGTTGTTAGATCCTTAATTTCGGCCACTTTTCTTCATGTTTGGTGGGTTTTGGTAGGCGAGATCTCATAAAGCTTGCAAATTTATAATCTATATGCCATTTGGAGCATTTAACTTTATGGATCTGAAGTAGACTTGAGTTTTGAGGCCATGCTTGGAATCTTGGCCTTTCTGCCCATGTTTTTTCCTAAAAATGGAAAGGGCATGCATGCCCCTAAAGCTTTGATTTTTATGGTCCATAAGGTGTTGGAAACCCTTCTGGAAACTTTGGAGAAGTAACTCTAAGGATTAAGTGCTTAATGCGGGATAGGTACTTTATGCTTCCATTAAGGTCTTAGGGTTTTAGATCTTGAGTTATGGGCAAGGTTTAAAGGATAATGTTAGAAACTGTATCCATCAAGGTTATGTTTTGGACCTAGTTTGAGCTTGGGAAATCTTGGAATGGACTGGAAATTAGCTTAAGGAATTAAGTCATTATCACCATGGTGTGGTGGTCAGACTGAGCATACCTGTTTTGTCGTATTGCAACCACGATGTGGCGGTCAGCTGTAGGTTGATCATTTACTTTGACTATTTTGAGTATTGTGAGTAGTATTTGAGATTGGTCACTATTTGATGATTAGGAGATGGGTGGAGCTGAGATTCAGAGCAAAGACCTATTTAGCAATTTATTCTGACTGAGAGGTAAGTTTTTCTCACTGTACTGTGGGTCGAAGGCATCAAATTTGGCCCACCTGGTTATATATCCTAGTATATAGGAGGTTATTATAGTGATCTGTTAGATTTGTATCCTGTTATATAGGATGTTGTTATGCTATAGGGATCAGTTAGATCTGTATCCTAGTATATAGGATGTAAGTCCCAAACTATGGATCCAAAACAGTAACCAATAAGATAACAGCAATCAAATAGAGTGTTAGAAGGGGTAGAAGAAGAATCAAAGCAAGCATGCACACATTTATATCATATAAATGTCAAGTACACCCTATCACACATACACTGTTCATACGTACCTGACAAGATTGACACAACCATTTATATACACCCCACACCAACACATATGAGTGCAGCCGCACACACATGTACGGCCGCACACGGCATGTGCGGCCGCACACACAAACACACAGACAGTTCTACCATCATACCACTACACTATTGCTCTATCAACCTACCAAGCTCTATACAAAAGAATGCCTAGCCCAAACCACAAAAGTATAGCCTTTCAATCTCCCCCTTAGTTTGAGGCTACCATAGACTTGGTATTCATTATGAGAGTTTTTCAAACAGCTTTAGATCAGACTTTCCCATGGATCCCATCCAAAGTCTCCCATTAATGATTGTGGCGACCATTCCAGTATATTCTTTGGCAGCAGCCTCCATGACATCCTTTCGAACTATGATTTAGTGACGAGACAAAGTACGGATATCTCTTTTTATGAATCTTAGAAGATCCTTAGCACTTATTACCCTTAAAACTTGTTCTCGATCCTTGAAATTTATGGCAACAGTGGCAATTTCATCATCGTATGCTCAGAATTCCATATTATCAAGGTATCCCTCACGAAAGTGTTGAGGGATAGGAATTTCCTTTTGTTGTTTCGTTGCTGGCCATAGGATAATCTTCATAGGCTCGCCTGATTCAGGATCCATAATTTCCTTATCTTTTATGTATAAGGCTCTTGCAGTTTTCATTCTAGAGAAGTTGTCCTTGACCTGCCTGTCAAGAAATCTTTTGAGGTTTGACGCACTTGGATCTTCTGAAGGATTATGGAACGGGGCTCTTGAAAGTTCAGCAAGATCCAATTTATTCCATGAGTTAAAATCATGAATACTTTTGTAATACATAGAAACACCAGAATTCCTCTTTACAGCCCACATATTCAATTCAAGATCAAAAGCCCACATTCGGATTCCGGATTGATCTCCATACTCGTCACCAAATGCTTTTTGAGATCTGTCACAGTCAGCATAGGATCTTTAGCTTTGTGATTCTCATTCGAACTTTTCATAAATAGTAATCCTTCACTTTAGCTCGCAGTGACGGTTCTCTTCCCTTGTTTGATTGTGATGAGAGGTCTACTGTTTTCAGGTTCTTTCTCAAACTGAATTACAATGGTAGTTGTTCTAGGAGGAGGTGGATCAACTGGAAAGTCATCACGAGTAGATTGGGTGGGAGCCATAAGAGGATCTTCAATTCCGTGCGGCTGTTGAAACAAAGCATTAACCTTATCACCGAAGGCATCATACAGAATATTCTTCAAACTGAAGTAAAAAGTTGTGATAGAGCCAAGATTTTTCTGTAGATCCTTAATCTGTTTCGACTTCATTTCATCTCTTTCTTTGAGTTCTTCTATATAAGAAGTGTGTTGTTCTAGTAGAATGCTCTTCTCTATGAGTTCTTGATTGAGAATACCAATTTCTTCCCGAAGCAGTGACACTGAAGTCTTGTCATCACCTGGATGTTTTTTCCTGAAAGATATGCCTTTACCCTAGGAGGAAGAAGTCGAACTATTTTGAGCAAGGTGCTTGGCCAATCTGATCGAGGCTTCATCCAGTGAAGGTCGTGTAGGAGAATACTCTGGAATAGAGGATGAACCACCTACATCAAATATAGACTGTAGTAGTGGTAGTAATGATAGTAGTGGTGGTAGAAGTGGCTAAGATTGGTGGTACTTGGCTTACAGAGGGCACTCCCAGTCTTGAATCAGATTGACTTCCTTTCAAAGGGGACTGGGAGGTTTGTTGCTGTGTTGACTCACTCAAAAATGGAGCAGAAGTAGAAACAGTTGAATCAGAGGGAGAAATCTCTGAAATCAAATCCCTTTGACCTGAAGAGACCGCCATATGCTTGGAAGAGGAGAGAAAAATTTTGAGAGCGTTAACTTCTTCCCCAGTCTTGGTTGCTGGTTGAGCGACTTCATTGACCTTTTTAAAGCACCGGCTGTCAAACCCCGAAAATGGACCTAATTCATCATCATCATGATTGAGTTCAATGCTTGAAGGGAGATAATCACTGGTCCCAGTAAAATCTATCTCTTTCAGAAAGTCAACATCTTCATGAAGATCCTCATTGCCTTCTTCAAACTGAGTTTCAACTTCCACATTGTGTAGACGACTGTGTTCCCCTGCCACTATTGTTATAGGAGAATCACGAACCTCTTTAATCTCTGGCTCTGAAGTTGAAATCACAACATCATCAGTCTCTGTAGGATTAGATTGATTTTCTGAATCTGATTGATCACTATCTTCAGCAAAAATTCCAAATCTTATTAAAGGGAATTTCCCTTCAAAAACAAACTTTCCACCCATTTTCTGCTTCATCAATCCAAAAGCACTTGGACCGACAGACATAAGATCCAGTGTCTCATTTCCTCTTTAGAGCTCAAAGTGCATGCCATTGAAGATAATTTGAAGAAATCTCAGGTACATCAAAAAATTGTCTCTCTTGTTTCCTTCAACATTTAGAATCAATTCATGCAAGATAAATTTTGAAAAATTAAACTCGATCCCTGAAGCCAAGGTTGTAATGGCTCCTGTGTTGAACAGAGAGATTTCGTTTGGTCTTGATCTCCTTCCGGAAATACAGCTCACAAATACATGAGCTAAATATTTCCAGCAAGGAGGAAGAAGTTTCTTGATGGTAGGAGGAAATGATCATTTATACCCCATGTGGTCTAGAACATCTTGAGTTTCATACACGTCAATTTACATAGAATACTCAGGCCTATCATTGATTTGAAGTGATTCTCGAATAACACTTTCTGAGATCAGAATCTTCTTTCCTTGTATAGTTGCTTCAAGATCCTTTTCTTCCTTTTCATCTTCCTTGACTATTGCACTTCTCCAAAAGTCTTTGATCAAATTATGATAAATCATCGGACTAGTCGTCAAAGCATGAACTAGACAACATTTCTTAAGACCATCAACAATGAATTTTAGATCATTATGAGCAGCTGGAGGATTTTCAAGAAAGATTGTTGAGTTGTGCACCTTTGCAAATTCAAGTTCTCCCATGTTAATCTGAAAAACAAACAAGCATACATTAGGGAAAAAGTTTTCAATTTTTGGGTATACAACCATACACCTATATGCATCTACACACAGAGTGTGTAGCTATACACAGTGCATAGTCGTACAATTATTCCAACTATTCATGGTCAGCCACACACAATGAAGTGTGCAACCGAACACGCAATTCATAACTCAAAGGATGTGTGCACCCACACACGTCATCAGCCGCACACAAGGAGGTGTGCAGCCGCACCTGTCATCGCCACACACAAGGAAGTGTGCAGCCGCACACGTCATCAGCCGCACACCAGGAATTGTGCAGCCGCACACAGTCCAGCCGCACACGCGTGTGCGATTGCACATGGTGTGTGCGGTCTCACACACACAGTCGGGAATAAAAACCCTCGATTAAGCATCTATTCTTGATCGTTTTTGCATAAAAATCACATTGAGAGTGTCAATTTAGCAGTTCTTACAGTTATTAAGCTTTAATTTCTGGAAAAATGATGGATTTGGATGATTTTAAAGAGAGAGAGAGAGAGAGAGAGAGAGAGATGATAGTGTCTTGTGCGGTTAAACTTTAGGAAGGTTAAACAGTGAATGAAAAAAGAACCGCACAGCCCCTTTTTATACTTTTCACACTTGGGCTTCCATTTCCTTTTTTTTTTATTAAAATAAAATCCCAAGCCCAATACTCAAAAATTTTAAAAAATAAATCATTTTGAGGATTAAAATTTTTATATCGCTTCTAAATAAAAAATAAAATAAAAATAAAATAAAATAAGATGACACAAAATAAAGGAAAATAATAAAAATTCAATTCTAATACTAACTTTAATCCTCTAACTAAATATTGATTAACCTTTTGTGATGTGGGATCAAAGTTGTTAGAAAATCTTTTTTCAATTTATCAGTACCTCCCCTTTCATGAATAAATCTGGTCGATCACTAGTACTGTGGTCCACTTAAACAAAAAAAAATTGTGACAAATTTTGGACATGCTATAAGTGACAAGACAATTTAATCCTATATTCCTAGATAAAACTTCCTACGGACCATTTATCTGACGACGGCCAAGGATATTGTTGTCCACCTAAATTAAGTAGTGAGATCTATAGACAATCTAGAATTGTTCAATTTTAGATTTACAAGAACATGTTTCCTGCTTCCTAATATACCCCAATAATCAAGAACTTCTGCGATACTCCTTACTTTAGGTGAGCAGGCTATTATTCATAGAGATGATAGATTTAGATTATGATTAATTATAGTTGTAGAGGGATTGAGAAGTAGAAGGTTCCATATGTTGTGTACCAGGTCGGATTGTTAATTACACAAAGGAAACAACATATGGCTAACATATAGGAAGAATTTCATAGATATAATATGCATAGAAATAAATTTGTATATGTTGCAGTCCAGTTCGGATCTCTTCCAATCACGTAAAGGAGGAAACATATCACTAAAAGTAAGAAAGAAAGAAAATAATTTTCTATAGACCTACTTTATCGGAATTCCCCAATCTCTCCGTCAATACCGGAACTAAGGATAGAATCCGTACATCGAGGAAAAGTAAAAACACAGTTCTAGATACGGGTTCTTTAGTCTGACTGGTGGATTCTCATGTACATCTCCTTGCTCAACCTATTCGAGCGTCGTATTGTTAGGCTGAACGGATCTATCCAGGTCAAGATTTGTCAAGTCATTTGATTTCTTAGGTTCATCTTTGCCTAGTCAAGTCCATTAAATTCATCGTGCCTACCAGTGCATCGAACACAGAGCCTAGACAATTCAGCTTTGGTACTTTACACAGACCCTGATTGCCTGTTATCACCTATTGATATCACTTCCCAACTCATCATTTCATAGAAATACTTTGTTTTTTTTATTTTTTATTTTCTATTGTTTTTGGATTTTTTTTTATTTTCAATTGTTTTTGGATTTTTTTTTAATTTTCTAATGTTTTTGGATTTTTGAATTTTCTAATTTTTGTTTGTTTGTTTGTTTGTTTGTTTGTTTGTTTGTTTATTTCTTCCCCTAAATTTGTGCGTGGAAGAGAATAAAAATAAAATGCGCAAATTTAAACTATCCTAAACAAAAATTAATCCTCAACGCGAATCATTTTTAAAAAATTGACCAGCACATCGAATCAAGCTTTGTTAAACGGCTTGGAGAACAAATCCGCTACATTATTTTCAAGGCGAACCTGTTCTAGCCGAATGAGCGAGCGCTCATAACATTCTCTAATAAAATGAATTTTGATATCGATGTTCTTGGTTTTTGAGTGTTGGGTTGGATTTTTAGCAATTTAGATCGCAGCCTCATTATCATAGTATATAGGGTTTCTTGAAAATTCAAACTGTAATCCAACAGCTGATGTTGGATCCATATGACTTGAGAACAGCAGGCAGATACAGTTACATATTCTGCTTCTGCTGTTGAGGTCGAGACAATATGCTGCTTCTTGCATTGCCAAGACACCAGCCTATCTCCAAGAAATTGACATCCGCCTGAAGTCGATTTCCTATCAAGTTCACAACCACCATAATTGCTGTCTGCAAAAGCGTAAAGGTCAAATTCGAAAATTTTCAAATACTAAAGACCCAATTTTGGGCTGCCTTTGATATACCGAAAAATTCTTTTAACAGCAGTAAGATGAGACATATTAGGATTACCCTGGTAGCGCGCGCATTGACAAACCGCAAACATAATGTTTGGGTGACTCGCAGTCAGATACATCAGCGATCCAATCATTGATCTGTAGTACGTGTGATCTACAGATTCGCCTTTAAGATCGGGAGTTAGCAATGGTCTCTCCGCAATGGGCGTCGAAGCAGTTTTAGTGTCTCTGAACCCGAACTTCTCGAGCATATCGTCCACATATTTGGCTTGATGAATAAGGATCCCGGATGAACACTATTTGACCTGAAGCCCAAAAAACATGGTCATCTCCCCCAATGAACTCATCTCGAACCGCTTTTTCATGACGTCCTCGAATTCTTTTCAAAGTTGAGTACTCGTCGACCTGAAGATGATATCGTCCACATATATTTGGACAAGAATCTGGTCTGAACCGACATGCTTGATGAATAGGGTTTGATCGATAGTTCCGCGTGAGTAGCCATGGTCAAGCAAGTGTTGTATGAGTGTAGCGTACCATGCTCTGGGAGCTTGATGCAATCCATACAAAGCATTGTCTAACTTGTAGACATGATTAGGAAGTTTGGAGTTAACAAACCCAGGGGGTTGGTCAACATAAATCTCCTCTTTCACCTTGCCATACAAGAAAGTTGTCTTGACATCCATTTGGTATACAGTAAAGTTCATGTGAGAAGCGTAAGCGAGGAAGATACGTATAGCCTCCAAGCACGCAACTGGAGCAAAAACCTTTGTATAATCAAGACCCTCAACTTGTCTAAACCTACGAACCACCAATCTCGCCTTATTTCTTACAGTTACATCCTAATCATCTTGCTTGTTCCAAAACACCCATCTAGTGTCTAGAGATTTCTTGCCTTTAGGGAGCTCCACCAACTTCCAAACCCCAAGCCTTTCGAATTGATTAACTTCGTCATGCATGGCACCAACCCAGCTAGGCTCATTCAAATCCATGTCGACATTCTTGGGCTCTATTTGAGAAATAAAGCTAGAGTAGAGACATGTGTTGACGTCTCCACTTCAACTTCTCATTCGAACACCATCGTTCAGCTGGCCAATGACATTGTCTATCGGATGATTGCGTTGTATGCGAGAGGGAATTTCGTGACTGATGTCATTGAATGTAACAAGAAGATTATGGATATTTATGGCTCCATCATGTGCTGAAGAATCCATGGTAGATGTACTGGCATCATGTGGTGAATTTGCTACAAACTCATTTGCGATTTGTTCGGGAAAAAGGAGTTCCATTAGATTTTGAGTCACATCGGAAGAATCTTGGTTCATGAACTTTCTTTCAACTGGAGTTAGAGGAGTGGCATCATCATCTGGAGCAACTTGTGATGTTGGAGACTCTAGAGAAGCAGTTAAAACAAATGACTCCACCGGAAGATCAGTAATAGAAACCAATGGCGGTCTGTAGACAACCTCTTCCTCATCGTCTTCAATTGTAGTCTTCGAGCCAGATGAAGACCCAGCGTGGTTATTAGACGACACACAAAAAGATTTGAATATATATGTGTAATCAAACAACTAATTAGGACCCACTCTAGCATCTATCTCATTCTCTTCAAGCCAACAAACATCGAAAGACTCCATAATTTGTTTTGTCTTCTTGTTGTATACCCGGTAAGTAGTACGAGCAGCGTAACCAACAAAATAACATTCATCAGCTTTGGCAT